GGGTACTGGATAGATTCCCCCCCCCCCCCAAGGTTGTGAAGATTGAGCTTGATTGAAGTGGAGGGGGAGTCTGGAATATGAAGAAGATTTATAAGCATGCTGCATAGCTTTCCTTTTCCTTAAGAATCAGTTATACATTCAAAGGAAAATGCTCACTTCCTCAGTAGTAGTAGTAGTAAACATTTTAATTCTATGGGAATATTTGCAAATTTTTACTGCATCTTTTTATTTTGATGGGTACTGCAGATTAATTAGCACCATGGCTACAATACCCCTTCAATAATGTTAGTAATATGCTACCAAATGGTAATAACGTAGTAAACTGCTTGGCTGGGTTTGGCAACTGTAAATCTTTCTGAACCATGGTGTGTGTGAGAGGTCACCCAGATCTTTGATGCATATGTCTAGGCAGGAATTTGGAGGAGTGGAGACTCCCCTGACCTTCCATCCCCTTTTAGGCCACTGAGGCAGAATCCAAAGGCCAGACTGAGTCCAGACATTTGGTGCTGCCAAGTAAGCTGCTTAAAACGTGTATCTCACTAGTAGAAGCCCCTGACTCTGAGGGAACGTGTCTTTGGAGAACAAATTTTAATCTATACCTTCTGTAATGCAGCATCTATTTCCTTTTGTTCAAACTGCATACGTAGTAATTTTTGTTCCTCGATTCTTCGCTGTTCCTCTTCCTCCCTTGCTTTTGCCATTTTCTCAAACCGAGCCTTCATGTTTACTTTATGAGTAAATGGAGCCTCCGATTTCTTGGCTGGCTTCACATCTACCTCGTCTTCCTTTTTATTTCAAAAAGAAAATTTAGAAATGCATTGCAAAGTTTAGAACTTGACTAGATTTTAATTTAAATAATTTATATAAAAATTTACTTTACAAAAACACAAAACAAAATTATTTTTACCTTAACAGGTAATTCAGCCTTTCGTACCCCTCCTTACCTGAGGTTTATTTAAAGGTAGTAAGGACTTATTTCTTATCCAGTATGATTTTACACTGAGGTGTAACTACTGTATTTCAAAGTGTATTTTAAGTGTCACAATAAAAATAAAGGCAGACAAGGTTCTTTGCGTAATTCTGATATCTTTTTTAATTAGACCAACTCAAATAGTTGGAAAAAATTTTCTTAGTAAGCTTTTGGGTTTGAAAACCCTTTGTTAGGCTAAGGAAGCATGTGTAGTGGGTGCTTCCTTAGCCTGACTAAGGATTTGTAAAGCTTGATAAGAAATTTTTTTCCAACTATTTGAGTTGGTCTAATACATCAGATAGACAAACAAGGTTCTTTGGGTATATGTCCTTAGACCAACACAGCTACAACCTATGCCCCTGTAACATGGCACAATAAAAACAAAGCCCTGGTTTAAATAAGGCCAGAGACTGGATAGTTACCAGGGTCAGCATCAAGTACCAAACAGTGGTACAAGTATTCATCATCACAGAATTCATGGGACTGGGGACTCAATGTAAACTCTGAGGCATGTCTTTACAGTGCATTGGATCTTAGCGCTGGTTAGGGGACTTGGAGGATTAGTGCTACTACACACATGCAGTATTTAATCATTTATGCCAGCAAATCAAACTATATATAGGGGATATGCTGAGAGTCAAAATTATTTTTGATCAAAAAAAGATTGCTTCCAAGGTAAGCAAACAAAAGCGCCCAGTTGGCCTGTTGTAGACATGTTTACTTGGCCATGTTAACAGTTAGTCTGAGGTATACTTGTGAAGCCATACATAGAAGCTGGCTCTTCAATTTATATTACACTATATAGCACAGTAAATCTTTTTCAGACCAAAGTAAGAGAAATGGATACAGGAGTTACTACTATGTCCTCTAAGTATTTTTTTTTTTGGGGGGGGGGGGGGGGGT